ACTACCGCCCTCCATACTCATCCCCCTAGGTTCCCCCCTTAAGTCACCTTAACTAGGCATCATGGGGGGGGAGGAACCCAGGGGGGGTTCGTATAGAGGGTGGTAGTACAAGGAGGGGCCCCCCTGGTTATAAGTAGAGTTACAAGAACCCTAAATTCGGTCACAAGGATCCTAAATTAGGTCATAAGAACTACAGTTCATATAGTAAGGGGGCCTCTCCTTGTAGGGAAGCCCATGGTCAGAAGATGGAAGCGCGTTGTGAAAACAAGGGCTCGCCAACTCCAAAGCTACAGCTTGCTGACTCCGAAGCCCGAAGCCCCTAAACCCTAAACCCTTTTGCCACTGGACTGAGGGTCTAAACCCTAAACCCTAAACCCTGAACCCTGGACCCTGGGCCCCTTGCTGTGCCTCCTTGCCCTCTAAGGTGGGCTCCGCTTCCTTCTCTGCTTCCTTTGCTGCTTCCTTCTCCGCTTCCTTCTCCTCTGCAGCAGATTCTGCCGCCACCTGAACAGGGTTTAGGGGTTTAGGTTTTAGGGGTTTAGGGTTTAGGGGTTTAGGGGTAAGGGGTTTAGGGGTTTATGGGGGTTTATAGGGGTTTATAGGGGTTTATAAGGGTTTATAGGGGTTTATAGGGGTTTAGGGGTTTAGGGCAAAGTTTAGGGGTTTAGGGGTTTAGGGGTTTAGGGTCGCTTCCGTGGCAATGGGACATGGTTGTTCTTCCCTTTTCACTAAATAAATGCATGGTGTGATGGCTTTGGGGGGGCTAAGGGATGGAAACCAGTGCCTCACCGTTCTGGGATTTAGGGTTTAGGGTTTCGGGTTTTGGGTTTAGGGTCTAGGGTTTAGGGTTTAGGACACTTCCATCGCAGAAGCAGGCTGTCAGGGGGGGCAACGTGTAGGGGTCTTCAGGGTAGCCCGCAGTCATGCCAAGAACTATTTGGTGACTGAAGTTGGGCATTCCATAACCCTAAGCCCTAAGCCCTAAACCCTAAACCGCCGCACAGATGTTCGTACTCATATACACACGTGTATAAAGGCCATCACAGGAGCACTCTGACAGTCTCAGATTTAGGGCACTCGTATGCAAGTACCTTGGAGGCAAAATGATCCCTAAACTTGAAGGCAAGATGATCCCTAAATATGATCCACATGTACCCCGCATCTAAAACTACGGTCCCTTTTGTGGGGGTCGTTCTTTCAAGGGTGCCGATCTAGGACCCTAAAAAAAGGGGCAGAGAACTATCCCACATCCTCTACCACTTGGTCCCAAAGTAATATCGGTGCCTTAATAATTGGATTTGTGTTTGTGTTTTTATTTTTTATTTTATTTATATTTATGTATTATTATTTTTATTATTATTATTATTTATTTTTTTTTTTTTTTTGGGGGGGGGGGTTCTTCCAGTATATTTCTAAAGGAGCCCATAAGGGAATGCCATTAGAAATTTGGGATGTTCTCCCTTGTACTAACCATCCTTAATAGGGATTCTAAATAAGGAGTGCTATCATCACCTCTTAAAGACTGTACTAGTATAGGGGGGACACATCCCAAGGAATACCAGTAGTAATTATCCCGAAACCCTAAACCTTAAACCCTAAACCCCAAACCCTAAACCCTAAACCCCAAACCCTAAACCCTGAAGAAAAGTCTCGTGGGGCGCCTTTCGCCGGGGCAGCTTGAACCTGAAGGTCAAGGGGAAGCCGGCTGGGTCATCCTCGGCAGGCCAAAGGGTTTAGGGGTTTGGGGTTTAGGGTTTAGGGTTCAGGGTTCAGGGCGACTGGCCAGGTTGCCCTCCAAGCCTCTCTGAAAGAGATTCCCCAAAAAAGGGGGATGCTCTTTAACATCACCGAACCAGGGAAGATGTAAAGTGCCCCAAGGGATGGTCTAGGCTGTGCAGGGGCAGGTTTTGCGAAGGTTGCACTTTGAGTTCGGCCCCCTGGTTCTTAGCAGGGAATGAGGGAATGAGGGCCCTCTATTATACCCTTAAAGGGATGATTTGGGGTAACCCTAAACCCTAAACCCTAAACCCTAAACCCTAAACCCTAAACCCTAAACCCTAAACCCTAAACCCTAAACCCTAAACCTGCCTCATTCCCTCATTCCCTACTAAGAACCAGGCAGTCGGTCCCTCTTCTGGCATGGATCGCTTGCCTTCTCTTGTCCGCGCAATACAGGCTACCCCCGGTCGTCGGCAACAAAGGCCACCCCTCTGCTTGAGGCTTCACATGCTTGTGTGTTCTTATGCCAAGCCCTAAACCCTGAACCCTAACCCTAAACCCTAAACCCTAAACCCTAAACCCTAAACCCTAAACCCTAAACCCTAAACCCTAAACCCAAGAATGGACGAGCCCCTCCATGAATCTCTGGAAAGTTCAAGGCACCGCGAAGATCATCATCGGGCCCTCCACACGTGTCCCCGTGCTGTCGATGACGTGCGGATCCTGACATTTTCTGCAAGGAGGGGCCCCCTTACTATACTAGCTGTAGTTAAGGGGTTTAGGGTTTAGGGCTTCAGGGTGTACAAGGAGGGGCCCCCTTACTACTGACCTAATTTTGGATCCTTGTGACCCAATTTCGGGTTTTTGTAACTCTACATATAACTAGGGGGGCCCTCCTTGTAAGGGTACAAGGAGGGCCCCCCGCCCCCTAGTTATGAGCAGAGTTATAAGAGCCCTAAATTGGATGATAAGGATCCGAAATTAGGTTAGCAGTCCCTTAACTACAATAAATCTAGTAAGGGGGCCCCTCCTTGTAGGGCCCTTGAAAGGCAAGCCCTCAACTACCCCTTATATACCCTGTATACTATACAACCGAAGCCCATCCTTCGGAACCCTTTAAAGGAGGTAAGGGGCCACATGAAGGGCCCATGTAGCTACCCTTAGACATCCCTAAACCCTAAACCCTAAACCCTAAACCCTATTGGGAGCCCGGAGCCCTGTCAACCGGCCGGAACCCCACAAAAACCCCATGCAGATTCATACCTATGTACAACTAGACCCTGAATTGCTAAACCCTAGATGCCCTAAAACCGCTTCCAGCCTCATCTGCCCCCATAAACCCTAAAACCCTAAACCCCAAACCCTAAACCCTAAACCCTTTTTGCAACGGGCTTCGATACCTCGCCCGGCCAGGCTGAACCCTAAACCCTAAACCCTGAACCCCAAACCCCCCATGGGCCGGTCCGGATCGAAGAAGGGCACCACGCCCTCCAACTCGGATGGATCCGACCAGCCGAGCCTCATTTTCAGGGCTTTCAGGTGTAGTTCCTTGAGGGGGTCCGCTACAGGGGGTCTAGCGTTCAGGGTTTTGCGGTTAGGCTTTAGGGTTCAGGACTTTTGGGTAAAGGCCGTTGTTGCAGATTCTCTTGTGGCCTTCACAAACGGGGTCTTGGGGCAGTGCATTGCATTCTCTCCCCGCACGAAGATGCAGGTTCCCGAGTGCTGTGTTGTCTCGCCAATCCGAAAAAGCCTATCTTAAAATCCTAAAACCTTCCACCGACTACTATTTGCTTAAGAACTTCCCAAAACTGCACAATACCAATCCCTATATTTCCCTTATAAGGACGAAGACTTTTTTTGGGGGGTTCTTAAGCAAGTAGATCCCAAACTCCATGATCCAAGCGTCTCAGACATCAGTGCTTTCATCTTCCGGTCCACGACCTACATGTTGATGGCATGTTGACACCGGTGTTGTGATCGTGCTTCTAAGCAAACCAGCTAGCAGAAACCTTGAAAGTACCTTGAGCATTGGACTGTGAGAATAATATATAGCACGAAGTCAGAACGCAGAATCACACGCAACGAGAAAGCCTCAATCACCAGAAGGCTCACGCTCGGAGAACGCTTAAGACATCTCAGAATGCCTTAACGAAAAATGTACTGGAGGTCATCCTCGATGCAGACACACGCCACGGCATGCAGCAAGCCCGAACCAACCCTGCACTCAAACTCATGGCGCAACGCGTACCTGATGCGAAGAGATCGATGACCAGTCCCCTCGTTAACCCTTTGCCCCGGTTACGGGCTTAGGGTTTAGGGTTTAGAATGTTTAGAATTTCCCCCCCCCCCCCTCCCTCCAGAAAACATGAGCAAATAAAAATGACAAGTAGCCTCTCAGAGGTGCTTGCCACCCACAGAGTTGGACATGTTGCACAGGGGGAGGGTATAGAGCTCTGCCCTAAACCCTAAACCCTAAACCCTAAACCTTCTTTACAAACCGACCGGCTTCGGTGGGGGGTCAGCGAGGGAGCTCTGGCTCGAGCAAGGGTCTGACTTTGCAAGGCCTACGTGTTTTGCTCATAGGCGACTGAGAGGGGGCTTATAAAGACTACAGGGCTTTCAAGGGCTTTCAAGGGCTTGTAGAAGTTTCATAGGTTCTAGCGCATAAATATATACATATATATATATGTTTGTATATATATATATATAACATGCAACTCGGAAAATAAACTACGGCCAAGAGGGTCACCATAGCTATGTCTATCAGCGCCACGGGCGCCTCGAAAAACATGTCCTTCTCCTCCCAGGACAAGGTGAACTCCTTGGTCTCTATACCTGCGCATGGCTTGCTCGGGCTGGGGTTTGGGGCAGGGTTGAAGGTTTCCACGAAGTCCGAACGACGGCGGCAGTGACTGCGACTGCTAGTACTAGTACGATTATTATTATTATTGCTGTTGTTATTACTAATATTACAGCTACTTCTACCACCGCTACCACTACCACTACCACTGCTACTGCCACTGCCACGGCCACTGCCACGAATGCTACACTTTACTACACCTCCTACAACTACAACAGCTGCATTTACGCAGAAACCACATCAAGCTATGGCTCTAACAATGCGGGGTCTGCAGAGTCTGCATCATGCGACTCCCTTGCAAAGAGTCTGCAACGGCAGAGTGCCATAATGCCATTGCAAATGGCCAGAAGATACATTACTAAGAACAAATTGTGCGGGACATCTTGGGACGCTCACTGCTATCCCTTCGGAGCATCGGCAGCTACCTGAGAGACAACAGGATAGCAATCATAACCGCATCACAAGCTCCCCCAAGGATGGCGAGGTACACCCCAAGTGCCGAGCGGACGTTGATCCGATCTCGCGGCTCCAGCTCCAGGCAACGGCCGCTAAGGATGTCCTCGCAATCCTTCAGGAGGGTGCCTTGCACGGAGTACTGAAGGTGGAAGCCCAAGTCGAAGATGATCAGGGCCATTGCTGCTCCGGACAAGGTTAGGGAAAGGGTGTTCCAGGCTTGTCTTCTGCCCACACTGAGGGAGCACACAAAGGCGCCCGGGAGGAAGTCCACGGGCACAATCTGCCGCAACCTAGGCATAGCTGCCATAGCTTCCTCAGTACCAGGCCGGTTGAACTCGATGTAGACTGTGGAAGGGCCTTCATCCGTCGGCAAGCCCTTACAGTGCACACAACTCCACAGCTCTTCATCGGGGTCACGGATCACGCGAATGCCCCCTACGACGCCTTGGCTCCTCCGCCATTTGCTGCGGCTTGCCTCTGAGGATGCCTCTAAGAAGTCAGCGAAGTCCCAGGCGTCCCCCTCCGGACGCAACCACACGTGGCTGCGGACCTCCTGGTCTGCGAGCACGCCATAGAGCAGGTTGTCTTGGTACTCCCGAAAATCCATCATCGTAATCGCCATCTGATCGTCATCCTGCCAGGTGTCTCTCTCGCCGCCCGCAGCAATAATCACCGTCTGTGCCAGCATCAAGACGGCCATGCAACATGCCGCAAGCACACATGGGATGCCGCTCCCATTGTGACGGCCACATGAGCCCAGCAACAGGAGCTGCGACTCCACATCGAACAGTCCCCCAGATCGCCCCAGTGTGACCTATACTTCCCTTAGAACTTTAATAAAAAATATCATTTGTTAATATCCCTCTTGGGTTTTATATAAACATAAGCAAAAATAATTCCCAAAGGGGGATAGAGTGACTTCGTTGATGCATCCCCAGCAGGAAATGGAGGCACCGTGAAGAAGCACAATCCCGAGACCTCCAATCACCAAGAGATTCGTTCTCCGACGGGCGGCGAGCGTAGATGGTTCGGAGAAATCCTGGAACTGCAGCTGCAACAAATTGGAATCCTGCCCCCAGCTGTCCGGATCAGTCAGAGGGAGCTCGCGTGAGGGCGAGCAAACGAGCAGCAGCTCCTTGCCATACACTTGGGAAAGCATCGGGTGCTTGCTCCGCGGGCAAATCATGGGCTGGCAAGGGCGGTCCCCGAAGGCTTCGCGGAGCGCGCGTGCGTCGCAGCTGCAGCAAGTTCGCCACTCAGCGCGGGAGTTCAGCCAAAGCGACACGCAAAGCAGAATCAGCGTGAATGCTTGAGCCATCGCCTCCAACATGCTGTATTGGACGGGCGCTGTTACCTCGACTGGGTCTTCTGGTGTCGGGCCCTCGCACTTGAAGGAAACAGATCCTGAGTAGAGCTCCAGCGTTGAAGCTGCATGAAGCAGCAGCTCTAAAGCAGCCAGGAGATACCACAATGTTGCAGCCTGGTGGATGACCTTCATATGCAGCGGCAGCATCTTCTCCTGCTTCTGAAGGAGGCCTTCAAGCCAATCGAAGAGGCTACCCCGCTGCGATCCCGTCCATGCCTGCACTCTGCGCCAAAGCCAGGAACCGCTGCTCTTGTTCGCCAGATCTTCTTCGAGAACTGCGAGATCGCCAGTGAAATCTACACGCCAGGTGACCCGCAGGAACTGATCCCCGCAGCTGCAGTGCGAGGGCAGCACCGTCAGAGACTGCAGCAGGAGGCCAAAAACCAGTGACCAAGCGTAGATGTGGACCTCTGTGTCTCCACAGTTCAAGTAACAGAAGCCCAGCAGGTGAGTGTTCGCGTCGGCGTAATCCTCCAAGGCCTTGCACTTTTTTGGCGCATCCGCCTGCTCCGGCGTGAAGCTGACACACGCATCGGGGTCGCGCAGGGACCAAAGGCTAATGATCGCTGCACTGAGCGCACAAAGAAGAGAGCCAAGCTGATTCCGCGGTTGCAGAAGCCTCTCCTCGGGCTTCCCCTGCGCGCTTGGGCTTATGCTCACATCCGGCAAGTTGCTTCGCGGCGTCTGGCTTCCCGTACTTCGCCCCAGAACCGTGCGGCCTGGTGAGCGTGCATCGCCAATGATGCCAGCAAGGCTATCATCGAAGAGCCGGTCGGTGGACTTGAAACATGACGGCAGCATGGCCCCTGAACCCTTATAAGCCCTACCTCAAGAACCCAAAACCTACTGTTGTGTAGGTTCTTCTTATAAGACCCCCTATAGGACTCTTAGGTAACCTACAAAAAAGTAGGGTTTGGGTTCGTAAGGTAAACCCTATAGCTTCTCACTCGGACCAGGACCAGGGCGCTGAAAATCTTGCGCAGGACAACATGGGCCCATCAAGATCCACGCCCCGCAACGGTAAAGGGTTTCGGGTTAGGCGGTGCTGCGTGGAATCGGCGATCCAAAGTGCTCATGGTGCAGAGAGGATACAGGAGCCTGTACCTGTAGCCTGTAAGTCAATGCCGCCGGCGCACGAAACCCTGAAGCCGTCCGATCCGCACACAGGCCCGATTTAAGCAAAGCCTAAGTTCCCAACCCCCCCCCCCCCTTCTCCCTTTTGCAACCGGGCTTGGGGGGGGCGAGCCAGACCTCCCCTAAACCCTGAGCCCTAGAGGAAGTTGGGACCCTATAAGACCCAACCTAAGAAACCCCGAAACCCGAAGAAAGCCACTTGCGTCCAAGAGGCAATACCCCGAGTCGGCCGCAGGCTCCTCTGCCGCTGCTGGAGCCTAGGCGGTCTGGGTGGGGGCTCTGGAGAATAAGAATAACGATGATGGTTGTCATTAAGTACTATACTGTACAGATCCATTCGCTTGCTTGCCCGTAAGTACATAGAAATACAGATAGATAAGTAAGCAGAGAATCAAAACGAGAGAGAAACAGAGAGAGAGAGAGAGAAAGAGACAAGGACGGAGAGGGAGGAGAGGGAGGGGGGGAGCTGGAGCGAGGAGAGAGGAACAAAGAGAGAGGCCCAGTGTTCAAGCACCTGCTGAGTTAAGACGCTGCCCGCACGTCGTGTGCAGCCCTAGTCAGAGGCAAGTGGCAGCTTCTGGCTCCTCCAAGCAAAGGGGCAGACGAATACCCTTAAGCCCCCCCCCCCTTTCAAAACAGGCACCCCAATTAAGAAAAAATCAAGCTGTGCTCTGAAACATCACTTTGCGAGCTGGCAGCTAGCAATATCCGTTTGCACTGCACACCTCCCCAAGACCCTGGGAGGACCTCATCAAAAGGACCTGACTCATAAGGGCTCCTGAAAGCCACGCACGCTCCCTTGAGACTTGCACGCCGTCTCGGCTCCACGGCAAGCACGAATACCCTGAACCACCCTAAACCACCCTAAACCCTAAACCCTAAACCCTCAACTCAACCTTTCACTGCACGTGCTTGCGCCTTTGGAGTCTCCACGGTTGCCGGCTCGGCCGATGCCGTGGCATCAGTAGCTTCCCCCTGCATCTTTGCGACCCCAGCCCAATATCCCTTCCCTCAATTGAGGAAGATATAGGGCTTCGGGTTTAGGGTTTAGGGTTTAGGGTTTAGGGTTTAGGGTTTAGGGACAATAACCCACCAGTGTGAGGTAGCTTCCTTAATTTAAGTGGTCTTGGGTTAGTTGTGGGTAGCTCAGAGTGACGGCCACTTACACGGCCGCATGATGCCACACGGGGTTCCTTTGCAGGGTCTGGCTCTTTGATGTAACCTTTGGGACCACATGCACCCCACATGGGATCGTCTACCCTTACTACGAGAACCCCTGTGAAGGCAGGACACAAGTCACAAGACCGTTTCAGATTCATCTGGTCCCACAAAAAACTCAAGCTGACTCTAACGACAAGTGCGACCCTCAGTGCACTATCCCTGCGCGTGGAAACTTGCCGTTCTTCGTAGAAAGAGCCCATTTGCGCAACCTCGTCATGGCACAAAACACACCTTGCTGAGGCCTGGAGGCCCCCTAAGGAGTTGTGCAAGGCACGATGGTGATCCGCAGGGTCGAAACTCCAACATCCCTAAACCCTAAACCCTAAACCCTAAACCCTAAACCCTAAACCGCTGCCTCCACGGCGGGCTCTTTGAAGGCAGCCTTCTTCTTCTCCTTCCTTCTCTTCTTCTTCCTGGCCTGATAACAGGTCTACGTGTGCCCCCCCTTTGTAGCCCCCCAACTAAGGGAGGCTGGCAGAATCTCCCGTAGAAGGAACCGTTTAGACCCCAAACCCTAAACCCAAATCATTGGCAGCCGACAGGTGTTGGAACCTACAAGGAGGGGCCCCCTAGTTATAAGTGTTATAAGAACCCAAATTGGAATATAAGGATCCTAAATTCAGTTATAAGTCCTTTAACTACAGTTAGAAAAGTAAGGGGGCCCCTGCTTGTAGTCCTCAGGGCAGAAACCCGAGCCTTCTTCGATTCGGCATCCGCCGCCCCGGCTGGTCCTTTCGCCTTGTCCTTAGGGTTTAGGGTTTAGGGTTTAGGGTTTAGGGTTTAGGGTTTAGGGTTTAGGGTTTAGGGTTTTTGCCGCCCGTCTAGCCATGCTCCACGACAACCATTTGCAGAGAGGATGCTTAGGGTGCAAGGTTTAGGGCTTTAGGGCCTTCACACAAAACCAGCAAAGATGCCCAGCTCAAGGGTGCGAGCTGGGAGCCTGCGGAGAAAGAGTCGGGGTGTTCGGACAGGATTCGTGGCCCACGGTCATCCTGCCCCCCCCCCCCCCCCCCCCATGTTACCCTAACCCCTAAACCCTAAAACCCGGGCTCTCAATGCTCTCTAAGGTGCCGGCACATCCCCTAAACCCTAAACCCTAATCCCTAAACCCTAAACCCTAAACCCTAAACCCCTGTAAAGAGAGGCAGACCGGGCTCCCGGAGAAAAAAAAACTCCGTGCAGTCGGAGAGGCTGCCTCATCAAGCCACTCTGAGAGTCGGCTGAAGACGTCCGGCATTGTTTCCTCCAGACGAAGGGTTTAGGGTTTAGGGTTTAGGGTTAGGGTTTAGGGTTTAGGGTTTAGGGTTTAGGGTTTAGGGTTTAGGGTTTAGGGTTTAGGGTTTAGGGTTTAGGGTTTAGGGTTTAGGGTTTAGGTTTTATGGTTTAGGGTTTAGGGTTTAGGGTTTAGGGTTTAGGGTTTAGGGTTTAGGGTTTAGGGTTTAGGGTTTAGGGTTTAGGGTTTAGGGTTTAGGGATTAGGGTTTAGGGTTTAGGGTTTAGGGCTCTCGCACTCGCACAAGGCAGGCAAGGATTCGGTCCGAAAGTCTGGCTCATGGCGTTAAGGGGATCCTGCATGTTCACCAGCACGACAGGCCGGTAAAGAAAGGAATGACCAAATAACTATTGCAACCTACAGTTTAGGGTATTCCAAAATTCAAGGCAACTTGAGTCTTCGGAACTTTGTAGTTTCAAGAACCTTGCTATGGACTGCGGACATCTTCCACGAACTCCCACGCCTAGGCTCCCATTCTGGATGCTGTTCTGTTCTTTGCTAGGTGAACAACAACTTCACTTCCCACATTGGGTTCAAGAACTCCAACGAAACCCGGATGCCTGCAGGTGCCCATTGTAGTGCAGGGTTTTCCTGCACCAAAGTAAGCAGTTTAAGTTTGGCAGCCTAGGCTGGTTTAGGGTTGAGTTGGCCAAGATGTCCCAGGGAAGCAATCGTCTTTAACACGCGACTACTGACTGGACTCCCACTCTAGCAAACATGATGACAAGACGATCGTCTCGTGACACAACATAAGGGAGTCTCCTAAGTATGACTCAATGTTCTTCCACCCTCTTCCCATCGGGCTCCAAGGGTCCGAAACTCCTAAACCCCAAAACCCCCTACAATGCAAAATCAAGAGGCCAGCTTCCGACCAACCCAGATAGGCATACTCCCAAACCATGTTAGAAGCAAGGAGAATCTGTAGTACCCTCATGGCCGGCCCAGACGTATGCGCATGGCCATCAGACAGTGCTTCGGAAAAGCTGCACCCATCAAAGAGACTCCCTGCATAGTTGGTCAGGACTCCGTCGCAATCCGAAGCCCACAAACACACGCGACCACTACTATGGGGTGCTGGTTTGCGGGCGAGCCAACACCGTCAATTTAAAACCGTCTCCGGTCCAAACCCTTATCCCCAAACTTGTAAAAACCTATTCAGGCAGTTCCGATGGCGGCCTATGTAACACGGGCGTAACCCTAAACCCTAAACCCTAAAGCCTAAACCCTAAACCCTAAACCCTAAACTCTAAACCCTAAACCCTATCCGAACCAAGCCGCCGCAGCTCTATCGTCCAATCTGCGCGGACCCCTGCCGCATGGCAGCAGCCACCAGAAGTCCTTAAAGCAATTTAAGATTGGGGGATAGGATTAGGGTTTAGGGTTTAGGGTTTCGGGTTTAAGGTGTCCCTGGACCCTTGGGGATATAGACCCTTTGAATAAGGTCCCTGTTTAAGAGAGCCAGAAGAAGGGTGGAGAAGGGTTCCCTTTTAAGGGTCCCCCTTATCCTACCTAGGGGCCTGAATAACTAGAATAGGGTCTTGGGAGGTGATTATAGTATAGTTACAAAGGGACCATACGGGAATATGATTAGTAATTATTCTGACCCCTACCAATTAGGGCTTTTTGGGGTCTAGGGTGTCTAGAGGAAGTTCAACTAGCATCCACAACAGTACTCCATGTCAGTGGCACCGACACCTTGTCAGCAAGCACTTGCACGCAGGCTAATGGAATAGGCATGTGGTCAGTTCTGCTGGATCGACGCCATAAGCAGTCGAGGAGCAAGTTCTTTAGCTCGATGTTCGTTCCGGCAGATGCTGACCTCACACGTAGCCATGTTGCCCAATGTAAGTTTTTAAGTTAGGCCTGAGAAACAATGTACACTCCTCCTGACAAGTGCCACTGTCAGATATGACGTTTTGCTACAGGTATGGGGGGCCCACCCCTTAGCAAAGACCTGGTGCCTGGTGCGCGAGTCCAACTACCATCAGGATCGTGCGATGGTCAACCCCAAGCAGAAGCAATCCACCGGTGACAGGGCAGCAACCGCTGGTGACGAGGTTGCTCCACATGATGGGTTGTTGCGTATGGCTCAGCGGGGTCATTGGGGGTGCGATGTCCGGTTTACTCGAAAGTGGAGGTTTCCCACATCCCTCGAAATGGAAACATCTCCGTGC